GGGAAGTATAGATATCGACCTAGCGTCTGCCAGCGTCTACCAGCGACCAGCAGCAGACTGCTGGTAGAGAGTATGGTGCGATAGGAAGGTACCAGCTGTCTGCTACCCTCCTATCGAGCCATACTCTCTACTCCCGAAGCCCGGTAGAGGCCTGTAGACGGACGGACGCGCGTAAAGCTGGTGTACGCTATTGGTCGCTGGGGGACGCTGCCGCAAAGTATGAACGCAGCTTAATGTCGCTGTGAATGCCTGCTGTGGGTGGCATTACTCAGTTGACACTGAGCAGGGTAAGGTGGCTGTGGGAGTATATTGAAGTATTGTGCGGATATGCTGGATCTTTCGATGTTTGGCTGTGGCATGGCCCACCCTACTGTACAGTACTCCTACAGCTTTCTTACCGTAATCACCTCAGCTAATTATGAAAACCTCGTATGTATAGAGTGGTAGAATCAGTGTTAGAGTTGGATTAGTGTATTCATGCATCAAATGCCTTGGTATAATGTTAAGTGGCGTGGTTTACCAAGCGCATGGTCTAGAGTCAAATGTTCACCGGCTCGAGTTGGGACCAACCAAGCCACCAACACCTAGCCGTTCCCGTAACTAATTGTACAGGCCACATCACATTCAATTGCGGCATGATTTTAAATGGAAACAGATTGCATGGCGGAATCAAATGGGGATGTTCAACGTCAAAAGTTTTATCCTTTAATCTTATTGACACGCATTACCTGGAACAAAAAACCTAACAGTTGAGAAAAGGCGCAATAAATGTAGCAGACGAGCTGGTTTATAAAATAGGTGTTCTGATTCAATTTAAGCCATCGACGTCTGGATACTCAGTTCAATGGCGTTCATCTTCGCTTCGCTAATCGAACTGGCTGTAGTAGGATACCTGTCTAGAAATGGTCACCACGCGTCTATCAAGTTAGTGAAAACAGTTCTTCGCCCTTATTTCATCACAATAGTGTGAATCCAACCGACCGTGAGCATTATTTCCAGCTAGCTTTTTTCTTTTTAGGTGCCACTGTTCGTGGTTATGTATGAAATGTCGGGAATGGACTGCGATGAAGCTCGATAAGGTCAGCTCACCAGCTCAGTTAATTTCAATTCCAACGTTTTCGTGCTCCTCAAATTCTTTGTAACCTCTCAATACTGGGTAACCTACAAGGGTGGAGCGTTACTTCTCACTGGCGACATCGCAGTACGAGTTGACTTCGGAAATAAAGCCGACGCGCAGCGAACATGGCCATATGAGGATGACAGCGGCGCTGCGCGTCGACTTTTTCTCTCAAGTCAACTCGCACTGCGATGCCGCGACTGGGGTGTAACGTTCCACACCCGGTGACCTACGCTCTTTATCCGTGCAAGTGAGGAGGCATGTGTGTGTGGATTGGAGCGCAGCCATGGCAGCTAACTGATGCAGCCCTGAGCCGGCAACAATTGGTGCAAAAGCTGCTCTGACTGCGCTACAGTCCACACCCCTTTACACGCCATCTCGCTCGCAAGGATGAAGTGTGTCAACACCAATTATACGAATTTCCAGGCCTCATCAGTGATATTTCCGACCTGTTTCTTTTTGTTCAACATTTGGTACTGGTTTGTCTTTTTAGGGTGAGTCACATGTTTGCACTAAATTCTTAGTTTCTATTTTACTGTTTAGCCGCATTTTATCGCTACCGCAATAGCGGTAGCAATTGCTGATTGCTGACCTATGGTAGCTGTAAGGCCACTTAGAGCGGCCGACAGTTTAGAACTGAAACTGTTTCTGATAAGCTTGGTTGCACTCCTTGTCCTGACTGCAGACTTTGTTTCGGGAAAGAATGTCGCTGTGGACTGCGCCTCAGAGCATGAGCATGAATAACGCTTTTCAGAATGAGAATGTGCATGCGGTTGCGGTGAATATGAACTGTATCGTTTGCGTTATTAAAGCACATGTCCTCATTAATTATGGTTCAAAAATATTTGTGAATGGATTAGACTAAATAGCAACTGCAGAAACATCGCTTATTCTGAA